TAGAGGATTGCCAGAGCCCAAGGGTTCGAGACCCGCCTGGGCAACTCGGCGAGACCTCGTCTCTACCATAAATCAAAAATCAGCCAGGCGTGGTCGTGCGCGCCTATAGTTCTAGCTACTTGGAAGGCTGAGGCGGAAGGATTGCCGGAGCCCAGCAGGTCGAGGCTGCGGTGGCCAGGAGAGGCCACTGCACTCCAGTCTGGGTGACAGACTCAAAAAACAAACAAACAAACAAAAAAACAAAAATTAAAGGAAGCTAATTTTTAAAAACTGCTGCCATTGAACTTTGGGAGGCAGAGGCGAAACGACTGCTTGAGCCCAGGAGTTTGAGGCCAGCTTGCAACATAGTGAGACCACATCTCGATAAATAACCAAAAAAATTAGCTGAGCATGGTAGCATGTACGTATAGTCCCAGCCACTCAGGAGAAAGGATCGCCTGAGCCCAGGAGGTTGAGGTTGTGGTGATCTGTGATCGTGCCACCGCACTTCAGCCTGGGCTACAGGATGAGATCGTGACTTAAAAATTAATTAATGAGGCCAGGCAAGACGGCTCACACCTATAATCCCAGCACTTTAGGAGGCCAAGCTGAGAGTACTGCCTGAGCCCAGGGGTTCAAGACCAACCTGGACAACATGGCAAGACCTCATCTCAATTAGCCAGGAGTGGTGGTACATGCCTATGGAAGGCTGAGGCGGAAGGATCGCCGGGAGCCCAGCAGGTCAAGGCTGCAGTGGCCATGAGCGTGCCACTGCACTCCAGCCTGGGTGACAGAGTGAGACTCCGACTGAAAAACAATTAATTAATTAATTAATAAGGTCATCACTGACACATTAAATTTCCAAGGAAATAAAGAAAAAGAAAAAAAGGAGGAAAATCACACTCCGCCCCCCCATACACACACACGCAGTAACACACATAACAGGGTTCCTACTCCCACCGGAAAGCAACACTAAGACAAGGCAGTGCTGAACTTTTTAAAGCAAGGACAGTGCTGACCAAGCCACAGGGCACTCACCATCTCCCCCAAGCCCCTGCAACTTGGCGTTCCTGTGGCTTGGATCCCCTCTACTCAGGTCCCCCCGCCATTGGCGGGATGCCCCTCCACTACCACACAGACCTAGGCGAAGAGTCACCACCATCCAGAATTCCTTTCTCAACCTTTCCACCTTCAGGCGCCTTCAGCACACTCCCCAGGCATGGCCTCCGCTGAGCGTGTGCCTGCTCCCCACAAGGAGTTCGACGCTGAGCACAGGAACGAGGCATTCCTTACAAGCTGCGCGTTGCCAAATGGATTCGTTCCAGAGCTTTAAGGAAAAATTGCAGCTGAAAAAGGGACCAGATGGGCTTGCAAGGAGAAAAATACAAACTCAATGCTTTGGGAGACTGACGCACTTTCCTAAAAACAGGCCTGTGATGTCAAAGAATTTCAGTTATTCAACCCTTACAGGAAAAGACCGGGGAAAAGCAAGCACTGAGAAGACATTCCATCACTGAAACTGACTTCAACTCTGCATGTGTCAGTATTTCTAAAGCTATTTTTGAACTTAATACTTCAAATATACACCCTCTAAAAATTCAGGGCCTGCACACCAGCCACAACAACTAATAATAATGACAAAATCTTATACTTAGCATTTACTATACAGCAAGCACACTTCTCAGCATTTTACATATAGTCCCTCACTCCACCCTAGAAAACTCTTTTCTTTCTTTTTTTCTGAATCGGAGTCTCACTCTGTCCCCCAGGCTAGAGTGCAGTGGCCTACCAGGCTCAGGCGATCCTTCCACCTCAACCTTCCAAGTAGCTGGAACTGCAGGCATGCACTACCATGCCCGGCTAATTTTTTGATTTATTACAGAGATGAGATCTCACCATGTTACCCAGACTGGTCTTGAACCAGTGAGTTCAGGCAATCCTCTCACCTCGGCCTCCCAAAGTGCTGGGATTATAGGCATGAGTCACCATGCCCAGTGCAAACTCTTTTCTTACTCATTTTTTCATGAGCAATCGGATACACAGAGTAAGGTGACCTACCCAAGGTTACACACACTGCCAATAAGTGGCAGAACTGAATTCAAGGCAGGCAGTCCGGCACCAGGGCCCATGTTCTCAATCACTACACTAACGCTCTTTCCAAAGGAGTTTAACACAGACAATCTTTTTTTTTTTTTTTTTT